GAACTAGATATATAGAAAAAATATATATATATATATTCTGTAAGTTCAGATTTAGAGAATGTAAAGCATGCTGACAAGATATACATGGACAGACAAAACTGCTGCTGGGAATACAAACCTATTGCATTTCCAGAAAGATTAAGCACCCTCAAGCTTGCAAATCCACTGAGAAATGGTATAATGAGCAAGCCTTGATTTGCCAGTTGGGCTGTTGTGGCCAAGGCACTCAAAGAAGAAATATATTTTTTAGCAGCTTCCATACTAGGATTTATCTTTGCATCTGCCTTTGTAACAGTCAAACCATTCATGACAGAGGGTTCTGTGCTAACATTATCATTAGAATGGAAAAGGACACCTGTTTCTTCTACTGGACTGCAGTGTTGAAAATCATTAATCCATTCCTCAATTCGCCTGAACTTAAAAGCATTGCTAGTGGATTCATCCCAGCCCTCAGCTCCTAATTCTCCTTGATGGTTCTTCTCTGAGTTTATCTGATCTGTAACTGGCACTATCCAGTCTTTCACTAAAGCAGAATAACTGTAAGAATCATAAGCATCATAGTTATCAAAGTTATGTGTCTCAGTTCTATGCATTATACCATCTTTTTCTTGTTCTCGCACAACCTCCATGTCTAAACCATGAACTTCAATTTCTTTCCGATGCATTTCAAGGACATGTAGATCCTCAAAAGATCTTGAACTAAGAGCTGAATATTTAAAAGGAGAACATCCTGCAGAGGTTGGGCTAGAAGGAATGATGTTTGGCATAGAACATGACTTTACAATTAAACATTCTGCATAAGGTGAATGGTCACCAGAGTCATCGGCAAAATCAGCAGATTGTGGACAATCAGAATTTTCACAGCCTTCCTTATCAGAATGATGAGGATCTCCAATCAAAAAAATAGATTCATTATGGACAATATCAGAACTTACTTCAACAGATTCTAAGTCCAAATCATTTTGAAGCTGACTAAGCAGATGATTGCTGCCATCTGGAGCCACCAACATATTCGGGGAAGAAAATCCATGATCACTTTCATCTTCTGCTGCATTTTTGCCAGGAGTGCTTCCCTCCTGGCAAAGTCCATCTCCTAGAGAAAAACTCTTCTTGACATGCCCTATCAAGGGGATCCTGACATCAATATCAAGATTGCATTCACGCTTCACTCCTTCGGAAGAAGTACTTGTAATAGGTGCTGCAGTTGCACCATGTTGAATTTGAGCATCACCTTGTTTTTTTGTCAAGAATGATATGCCTACAGCCTTAGGCAAACCTTTTGTGACTTGAACTTGAGATGCATCTTCTAAAGTTTTGTGCATTGCTCCAACAGATGATTGAACTGTTTTCTGATAGGGAAAAATCAGTCAAGAAATACCCCAACATATAAACTGAAATTATCCTATAAGTGTCAGAACCTTAAGTTTTGCTGCTTACCTTTGGTTTGTGGTGGTGAGTTTGAGTGTTGAAGCACAGAAACCTCACCATTGTGCCAGTATTGACAAGAACCACATCCACACTCTATTTATTTGGCTATAGCTAACCAACTACTCCTACTGTAAAAAGAAAAAACCACTACCATAAAGCTTTTGGGAACTCAAGCAATAGCGACCTTAGCCATAATCAAGCAACAAACCCTCTGAAACACGGCACAATCTCCAGATTTGAGACGATCTTGATCTTCTTAAAACACAAAGCAAAATTAACCCATTGTTGTCACCCCACACACCCCTAGAGGTGCAAGAAAAGTTTGCTTTTTTTGCAGTGGCCAGAGTGAAAATGAATCTTTTCAACTAGGAAACCCCAATTCCTAAAATAAGAGATGCTGACCTGATAAATAATGAAAACAAAAATAAAAAAGTAACAACATTTCATGTGAGTGCATTTCTATATTTTTTGGAAAACATAACTGGATAGAATACTTATAGCAGACTAAAAAGAACACGAGATTCCAGCAATCAATGGCACAATCGTAGATCCCAATGAGTCAATAATCAGAGCCAATCCTTTTCCACTATCATACTTTATTGCCAAAAATTTTGGAGAAAAGTAAAAGAAAAAGTTGAATTCTTAATAGAGGAACAACTTTTAACTCCAATATCTTACAAGATTCCAAAATCCTTTGTTCTAACTCACACAAGATTCCTACTTTTTCAATTCATTATTTTCCTCTAGACTAGATACAATTCAGTGATTTAAAATTCGCCCAGAAGAAAAAATAGCTTTTCTTAAAAAAAAACTCATCAAAAGAAAACAGACAAGAACACATATTCAAAGAATCAAAGAAATGGGTAAGGCCAGATATCCAAAAGCTCTACCGTTAATTGCAAACAATGTTGAAAAAAAAATATGTACAAAGATATGAACATTCAATGCAGGAAATTTAAGCCGGCTTAAATCCTGTACCTTGAGCTAGAACATGGATGTATCATCTAGTTGCAGCAGAAACCCATATCAAACAGAAAGAGAAAAACTACATAACAATGATGAGAATCAAGGAATACGCAGGAAATCAAATCACTCAAAACGGATGAAACAAGAATTACATGATCAAAGAAACAAATAATTAAACGGAATGGCACCTCTCTTTATAGGCTGATTGTTAAATGGACGTGTTCTCCACAAGAGGTGGCCGCAATGAGAAGGAAAGGGAAGACGAAATGCCAAACGTGTTTTTGTAATATATTTATAGACGTACGTAATTTCCTTAGAATAGACGGCGCATGGTGAATCGGTGGTGAAGCTTAAAAACCAACCCTAAGCTCTGGCTGAATCAATGGCCCAGAAATTTCCAGTTTGTTTTCTCTTCTCTTAACAAAAACCAATCTTCGGCCAAATAGCTTAGTAAAAAATACATAACAATAGCGGCATATCAATTATTACCTTTGAATAAATAATAGTTTTAATGTTAAATTATTTTATTTTATTTAGAAAAATATCATAAGATAATGAAATAATTGTGCAATTTGCATGTGATTGTACGATTAGATTAAGCTCCTGTTTGGATTGATGGATTTGGAAGGAAAATAGGAGAGAGTAAGGGGGTAAATGTCTCTTTTATTTTATTTGTTATTTTAATTAATAGAGAGGTAAGGAGATTGAGGGCGATAATGTCTTCTCCACTCTTCTGTTTTTCATCATTTCAAATTGAAAGGGTTAGGATGGATTTGATTTATGTATTTAATATTCTTTTAATATTTTTAAAAAATAAATATATAAAAATATTTTATTTCAATTATCATTTTAACTAATAAGTTTTAAATATTTTATTTTATTTTTTAAAATTATTATTAAATAAAAATATTTTCTTTTCCTCTCATCTATTTTCATCTATCCAAACAAAGTTAGTATTTATCATTTTCTTTCCTTTTCTTCCCCTCCCTTCTCTTTACTAATTTCTATCCAGACAACTGTAAGGGTGATTTTATAATTTCTTGTTGAAAAAAAGAGAATTAATTAAATAAATGAAAGTTAGCACTCTAATATTTCTTTGAGAGTCATAACTCAGCATTGATATGAATTATCTTAAAAATATATATATAACTTCATGTGGTTAAATTGTTACTAACAACTTTAAAATTAGATATATATCAGATTTATAATTTAGGTTTTAAAATAAATACTTAAAGAAATAATTTTTACAATAAATCATCTAGAGAGAAATAAATATGGTAAGCACAAAAATTAACCCATGATTACTACGAGTAACGCTTGAATAGTAAATAAAAAAGAAATATACTGGAAACTGAAATCTTTTACCGAAATGGAAAACTAATTTTGTTGGTTGGCCAAAATGGGAATAGCAATTTTGTTAATACGTTCTTGGGCTTGTTTGGCTGAGAATTTTGATATCAAAGTGGGTAACATTATGAATGATGCAAGTAGCTAGAAAAGTGGTATCAGTTCATATTGTAAAACAATTAAGTACAAATATATATAGAAATTATGTTATTTTAAAAAAATTATTAAAAAAATTAAAATATCTTAATTTTTAAAATAAAAATAAAGTTATTTTGGTTTTTTTGTAATATTTTATTAAAATAGCATAATTTTAAAATATTTTTTACTTAATTTTTTACAATATATCTTGATATTCAGTTATTTTGGTTTTTTTTGTAATATTTTATTAAAATAACATAATTTTAAAATATTTTTTACTTAATTTTTTACAATATATCTTGATATTCACTAATTTTTTATGAAAAATTATTATTTTCTTATAAAAGGCAATATATTTCATAAATGGAGAGATTGCAGGCAAAAAAAATTAAGAGATTACATCAATATATCTTATGAAACTAAATCTATAACAGTAAGGTTTTAAAGTGTTTTGCACAAATCTTTTTCTTAGAGCACTTTATTAAAAATATAAATTTATAATTTTAATTAATTTTAATTAATATTTTAGATATATTTTTAATATAATAAAAGATAAAAAGACTTACAACTACCACCACTACACAACACAACACTAATAAATAAAGTCTAAATCATGACATATATGACAATTAAATACAAAAAACTAATCATCAATTACTATAAAATTACCTAAAGCAATTGCTATAGGGGCGAGTAAATGGATCTGAGAGAACTGCTTTATTTTGCACGAGAAAACCACGCTACTGTACATCCAAGACGCCTAAGAAATCTAATTTGGTACTCCAACTTCAGGGGAGAAAGATTAGTGAAGGGACTCCATCTATGACCATGTTGTTTACAACCAAGCAAGTGCTGCCTCTAGTTGAGTCCAACCACCCATATTCACTCTGTTTTTTATCTCTTTAGCGTAAATTTCAGTGAAAATCATCAAAAGAGCTCAAATAAAAACTTTTCAGAAGAAAGTAACAAGCTCTCAATAGGAGAGAAATCCTTAGAAAAGAGAGAGAAAACCCACCCTGATTCATCCATCTTAATCGTCACGGGGCTTACATGCCACAACAAGGTGAAGGATTGATTAGCACTATTTTTAAGTAGAGGAGCTGAATTTTACCTTCTGTCCGCTAAAAAGCCCACAAGCAAAGAAAAAGACTTGCAAATAGGAGTGAGTATTGGCTATTCGTACGCTCATTACTTGCGTTTACCTTACCCATTTGAATAA